GGTCACCTGTATCCTTCCGGAGAGGCCTCATAATATTTTTCTCTTTATTTAGTTATGGAAGATGTGGATGCAACTAGCTTCTCTTATCATGGCCAGAAATACAACTTTGCTGCTTTGAAGCCGTTATTAAAGAGGAAATAAAATGAACAAAGCATCCAGCAGTGCAGAAAGGTTAATACATCATGTAGTTAACCCTGCTAAGACAACAACAAGCTGCTTCCTTGGTCTCAAGACTATTATCTTATGTAAGTGGTTTTAATAATACAGAATGCAAAATAATACAGAATGTTTTGCTTTGTACAAGAATTGGTGTATATGTGTGTCCTGGTTTGAGCTGAACAGAACCAATTCTGTTCAGTGACTTTTACTTCTCAGCTCCTAAGTCACTGAACAGTGACTCTGCTTAGCTCAAATCAGGATATTAAGCATGGTAAGATCCATAAGGATCAGGTAAGGATTGCTAGAAAAATATTACCAGTACCCCTTACTTGTGTATCAGTGGCTCCCTAAAGGAAGTCACAACAGCCACCTGTCACTGGTTTGAGTCTAAGGAGACCTGTATAATCATTGTGATAAAACCTGCAGAGAAACCATTTTAAGAGACAAACTTCTGTTGCAAAAAAATCTCAATTTGTAGAGTATTTTAAAATACCTGCTTTCATTCTACAAAGACAAAGCTCAAAAAGAGTAGGCTTACACTTTGAACACATCTCTCCTAAAAGGAGGGTCTTCACAGGAAACTCATTTGAAGTCACATGGTCATGTTATAATCAGACATCTTTACAGTCCAGACTTGCTTTAACACTGGTTTTCATCGCCTGTTGCTTTGATGCATTTTAGCCTTTTCTAATCTCCTGTTCAAAGTGCATTTTAATTCTTAGGATATAACACTCTATTTCATCAAATATACAGCCTTCTTAGCTATTGTCTGGGAAGTAATTTTTTGCCCTCTTTAAAATCAACATCAGTAGTCTTGAAGGCAGGGAGGAATCCAGTAGTTAACACCAAAGCCAGAATATTTTGTCCCTAATTCTGTAGCCTCACCTGCCTTATCATCCAGTGGCCAGCTTTCTGCCAAGCATACAGACAACACTAGGAGGTAATTCATCAGTATTTAACATTCTGAATAGGAAGTGAAAACTCAGAATCCACCTTCTAAACAGTGACTGAGTCAGGAAGGGTAGAATGAACCCTAGAGCAAGCCTCTTATATTCTGCTCTCCATCTGCTGTTGGTCTTTTTTTTAATATAAAAAATATATATTGAAATATTAATTGTGTAGATATGCAGATATACACACACACACAGAGAGCACACACATTGCCCTCTGCTGACTAGAGTCCAATACATAAGAGTTCTCCAGTACACAGACTCCTCATCATACAGGATTCTGCAATGAATGTTTGACAGAACCGTATGAGTGTAGGCATTGATTCCTATTACTTACTTATACAATGAGACACTTAATTCAGCAGTCACTTAGGCTTTTTCAGAATCCAATTTTAAGGCACATCATTTCTCTGCTTTTGTTCCTCCTACCTGGTGATACACATAGCAGGACAGTGGAGAAAACAAAACAACAACACACCACACACAACAGTTGCTTAAAGGTTAGCATACGTCTACCTAGATACCAGCATAGAAAGCCCTTGCCATTTTATGCTACATTAGTTAGTGCTCATTTCCTCCTTCCCGCTCAAATACCAGTTTGCTAGGAGTGGGCAGAGGGGAAAGTCAAGCAGAAAAACAAAGCTGCTACTTTCAGGCCACCTTTTTTTACTAATTCCTTCCCTCTGTTCTTCTCATGAGTACTGTAATTTTACCTTCCAGCATGAGTAAGAACTAAAAAGACCAAACAGAAGACCAATAAACACTTCAATTGTTAACATCTAATCTCCTCCATCCCTACACTAAATAAATCCTTTTTAAGTGTCTACTTCTATGACTTGGAGAGGGGAAAACACTTTAGAACAAAGTTTAGACACACAGATTAGAAAAAGATACAGAATATTTTTTGAAAATAGAAAGCAGCTCAGTAAGACCAACTGTAGGCTTCTTCGAGGATCTACCTGTTACGTAGAGTTTGCAGATCACCTTTCTGACAGTGACTGTCCATACTATACTACTTTTAAGTACCTACAGATGGACATGAAAGAAAAGTAGACTAAGGTTCTTGAATGGAGGGATAGAAGGAAAATTTCTGCTATTATTTCTGTACTCACCCAAAGCCCAGTATGATGCAGATTCCAATGGTGGAGCACTGCTGCAGAGAGCATGGATATACATGAGGTGAATCATCAATTCAGCCAGGCACCACCAAAAGAAAATACGAATTACACCCACAATTAGGATGCCAAGATTGGTCTTCAGACTAAAAGCTTCTTCTCTCATCATCTACAAAAGAAATCCAGAAATTATGGCACATAACTGGCTGTTTTACTCACATACTTATCCTGAGAAGTTTTTTTTTAAGTTTCAGTTGCTATTCATTACTGTTACTAGGGGATCATTCAATTACACCATTTGGAAATTTCTTACATACTCAAGAGAAGATGGGTCTCTCCATCTCCCAATTTCAGTAAGAAGTAGAAATCAAGAGGCTAAACATAAACGGCTGCAGAAAAGGCCAGGTGCTGTTAACCCAAACAGAATCCAGACACAAGACTAATTTCTGTAACTTCATCAGCCTCTAGAAATAATCAAAAAAAACTTTAAAGACACTACAGCTGTGAAGAAGGTTTTCCAAGCAGCAGCCCTACAGAACACAGAAACAACAACCGCTTGCTCTTAGAATACCTCCAACTTTTACCAGCTGCATAGGATTGATTATTTGAGGACAGTTCTTCATTTTTCTCCTGTAGAATTGCCAAGGTCAGCAAGACCCCCATGACATGCTGAGCATACGGCAGTTAAGCACTAGTTAAATATCAGCTAAGACAGGATTTGCAGTTGGCAGGTTTCTCAGGATGCTAACTGTAGCAAACACATCAGCATACCATTACTTCACCCTTATTCTGCAGTAGAAAGGAAATAATCAAATAGCATTGCTTAAAAATTTAGTCATATTTTGTATATCTGTCACTGTGTGTGTGCGCAATATTTCCCTCTCCAGTCTATAACTGGTCACCCAAAATGCACGTACAAGGTAAGAAACCAACCCATCCGCACAGAGAAAACCTCCTCGGAATTGCAAGCACACAGCACAGCTAACATGCAGTTAGCTCTGCTCACCTACAAATGAATGTGACAGTCCTTTTGAAGCCTCATTTGTACCAGTTAGATGAAAGCTTGGAAGCTACCATTTAAATCGCAGGGATTTGCACAACAGGCCATCAAACCCATGGCTAGAACTGCTACACCTTGCTTCAGTCCAGAAGTTCAACAAGGCTACTGACAAAGTATCAGTCTCCTTTTTTGCCTGGCAATGGGTGCCAATTGCCAGCACTGCATTACACTCTTCAGGCCATACAGCAGTTTGTCTCCATCTTCAGGACTTCAGCTTTCCAGCATGCTCAGCAAGAGCCCTCATCTCAGTCTTGGCTTCAGTTAAGCTGTTCTGCAGGTGGTCTTTTCCGATAGCAGCAGTAAGCATACTTCTTGTATTGTGCATTCTGAAGCAACTGCTGGGCACTGCAAGCTTCAAAACCCTTCTCCAGCTTCAGCTATCAAGGCAATATCCTCTGCTCACATAAGAGCTCTGACAACACACTTCAAATACCAACAAGAAATACGTTAAGGTTGTTCAGTTTGTTCCATCTCTTTTACAGCTTTAACCAAAGAGGTCGCACCTATTTAAATAAGAACCTACTACAAGGAGAGTCATATCATTCCCAGTCTTCCTTTTTATCCTCACACCAAGAATACAGGTAGCTTTTGCTGAGACATGTCAGACGAGCTTAGTTTCAATACAAGACTCTTCCCTTCCCCCATTTTTTCCAACCAGCTATCTCCAAGCTGCTCCCTAACTTGGGGTCTCATAGGTCTTCCTTAAAGAATAAACATACATACAAAAAAGAAACAAAACCACACCACTCTCCCTCTGCTAGGTGTACAAGAACATAGTTAGACTTCAACATACTTAAGAAGCTACAAAACAATAAACAGTGAAAAACAAATTACCACAGTTTCTTATGCAAGTCTATGTGGACTTTTCCTACAACATCCAGCCCAGGATAACAATATTCAGACTTGCATCTTCCAAAGCTACTGAAGACAAATGAGCACAGGACTTGTCACTCAGGGGTCCACCAGAATATCTCAGTTTTCACCTTCATAGAGCCCAAACTATGTGCTGTGGCTTCAACTGAAAATTTCCAAACGTGAACAGGAACAAGAAACACCTATGCTTCTATATGCAAACTGAAACAGCAGTTTTATGGTTTGAAACATCCACTCATCCACTTTATCCTAATGATACCAGCTACAGATGTCACAAATGGTGATTTTACTTCCCACTCAGGTGTGACAAAAAATAAGCAAAGCATTAAAGAATAGAAATGCGGGGTTTTCCCTTGTCATGTAGAAGCCAGCTTGAAAAGTGGCCAAGTAGGCACTAGAAAAAAATTTCAGTAAGGCAGGTAGGCCTTTCACATTAAAGGAGCAGCTCAACTTGCTAAGGTATGAAGAGCGTTTCAAGTAAATCATCAGTTGTTTTCACACCAGCGTGAGAAGAAATTGGTATCTTCAGGAATTTCAAATATAAACCAGCAGCTTTCTGTAACTCCAAAATCTGTTTCAGAGTTAATAGCCAGCTATTGCTGAAAATGTTTTTATTCTGCCTGATGGAGTAAAACAAAAATCCAGTCTAGCAACTGCACGCTAGAATTATGAATGCTGAGGAGTGTTAACACCACATCATTGCCTCCCTGGCTGATGTCAGACCAAAAAAACAAACAAACACATCCTGTAAAATAGAACTTAGGGTGTAAGTTCTGTCTTAAAGCTGATATCCAGGATACTGTCAAATTCCCAATGCTACACTCAAAATTGTCCAATCTTCACATTCTATAACACTTGGTATTCTTCAATTATGTGGAAGATCATTTAGACACGTAAACAATACTTAGTCTCCCTGGAGATTAAGAAAAGACTGAAAACGTTCAAAACACTAGTAAGGAAGAAAAATCACAGAACGAGTTATAGATGCATGAATGAAAATTCCTTTTCTGTAGGCTTTTGATTCTTTTTCTTTTTTTTTTTCTTTCTTCAAAGTACCTCATAAGAGGAGAAATATTTATTTCAGAATGGAAGAGCGATCCGAGTCAGAGAGGATTAATCATCCAGCCTTCAAAAAACTATTTTGCTTTCTTTCCACCTTCTCTAACATCAGAGTCTAATAACCCGTTTCCATCCAAGCACTATATGTACAGACTTATTTTGACTAAACATATTTTCACTGTTAGTTACCAGCCTAATGCAAGTTCAGTATTACGCCATGTTTGGCATACTAGCACAAATACCCAGACTGATTTTTAACTACAGTCTTCCCTTTCACATGCAGCATACTTCACTTAGAGAAAAGAATCATAGAATCATTAAGGTAGAAAAGACCTCTAAGATCATCTAGCCCAACTATCTACCCAACACTACCATGACCATTACAAAAAGCACAACAGACAGACTACCATTAGGAACATCTGTTTGAAAGTCTCATCAGTATTAACTTTTATAAAGCAAGCAAATAGCTAGAAAATAAATAGAAACTCAGGCTTACCTTTAAACTGGGTTATGAAACACACTAAATTTTTAAGCATCTTGAGGAAAACTGGATGAAATTGTCTACCTAACATTTTCTAACAATTGGTATTAAAATCTCTCAAGATGAGGAAAAACCACATCAATCTATCGTGCTTCAATCTATTCCTCAAGCACAGTGTCTGCATCTAGATTTGGCAGCTGAAAACTGATGATGATCCATTAGTTCTTCACTCAAGTCACTCGAAACACAGACACACTGAAAATCTGTAACTGCGTGACCTTAAAAACCACTGATACCTGTTTACTGAATTCATCAAAATTCATAAGAGGTCCATTGTGGAACATGGGATAATAAAACACATATGCCAGCATCCACAGGAACGAGTGTGATGACTTCTGGGCACGTCCATGCCAGCAGTACTCCAGGCTGAAGCTAGTGCAGAAAAGGCAGCGGACAGACACAGTGAAGAGCAGAAGATAATAGTCATTTTCCGTGTCATACCACTTTCTCTGCAAGACAAAAAGCCAGATGATAATGGTGCAATGTTGTGTTTTCTATAGGGCTGGATAGCCATGTCCACCCAGACCGTAACTTCCAGGGCCACCAGCAGCAGGAAGCAACTAAAGCTGGAATGAGCATCTGAAGTGAACAGCACTACTTAACTCAAGAACAACAAGCATGGGCTATTGACAGAGGAAGGGCCTCCAGAGCTACTGCAACCAGACAGACAACAGCTTGATTTCAGAAACATGCTAGATTGTGAAGAACTATGACAGTAATAAAGCTTTATTAACAGGAGTGCCATTATCTCTCTCAGATTTGGTCCAGTAATACAACATCCAAACCAGCTGGCACCACTATTGACAGCCAAGGAACATCTAGGGCTGAAGCCAAGGCTGCAGTTCAGATCTGAAGAGAATTGGTCACTCCTGAGAAAGCTCAAAGATGTAAACCTATTATTGAGCCTTTATTTTTGACACCCATTGTCATACTCATTTCCAAAAACAAACAAACAAACAAAATAACCACCCCAAAACACATCACACAGTTTGGCTCTTTACATCTATACTGCAGTGGGCCTTTTCCTCTTCTCTGCGAGACACCCTACTCACTCATCTGTCCTCCCCCTGAACATCAGCACAACAAGTCTTGTTACACAAGCACAGTTAGTCCAGGTAAATGCAACAAGGACATTTCCTCAGACCTGAGCAGTAGTTTCTTTAAAACTGTACTGCTCTGCAAAAGCTGTTAGAGAAAGCGCAAAACCGAGCTTGCACCGACCACTTGTGAACAAGCAACTTGTTTGGTACAAATCAAAGTGTAGGAGAGGCAGTCCCGCTTTCTAAGCACAAGTCTACAGTCACCAATAAGGTAGCAATAAGGTCACCAATAAGGCTTGAACAAGCAACTCAGATATGAGCCAAACAAAAAAAATAACAATAAAAAAAAAAGCACCTTAAATTGGTATCATTACAGCTCCAAAGAACAAGAAACGTTCTGGTGCTACTAAAGCACTACTACTGCCTAAGGTTTTTCAAGCCAACTCTGCTCAGTGGAAGAGATAGTACTGTCATAAAGGTAGCTGCTGTAATGGACAAATGCCACCATAGTTAATTTAATGGTTAACAAGTCCTTCTCACATTACCTTGGCTTCTTCTACAGCTGGTATGCGCAAAGTGGACAGCAGAATAAGGGAGCACAACCATGTCAGGAGCGACAGCTGAAACTGAGCCACAGCAAATGAAACAGTTGCATGTAACAAAATCACAGCGAAGCCCCTGATTCCTAGTAACAACCAGCAGGCAGCCATTCCATAAACCATCAAGCACCATGGCTTATACTGTTAGAAAAAGAAAAATAGACAATTTTTAGTTTGAATACTTCTAAAGAAAAGAAAAAAAACACTCAATATCAATGCTGTCCTACACAGGGTCTACAGTAGAAATAAATACAGGGTCTAGAGTAGAAATAAATACAGTCAATGAGGTTAAGAACACATATAGAATCATAGAACAGTTTTGGTTGGAAGAGATCTTCAAGATCATCAAGTCCAACCTTTTCCTAGCCCTATCAGCACCACTAAACCATGTCCTTCAAGGCAACATCTACCAGTCTCTTAAACACCTCCAGCATTGGTGACTCAACCCCCTCCCTGGGCAGCCTGTTCCAATGGCTGACAATCCTTTCAGTAAAGAAATTCTTCCCAATATCCAACCTGAACCTCCCCTGGTGCAACTTATGGCCATTGCCCCTTGTCCTATCACTCACCACTAGGGAGAACAGACCAATCCCCGCCTCTCTACAACCTCCTTCCAAGTAGTTGTAGAGAGCGATTAGGTCTCCCCTCAGTCTCCCCTTCTCCAGACTAAACAGCCCCAGATCCCCCAGGTGTTCCTCATAGGACACATGTTCTAAGCCCTTTACCAGCTTGGCAGCCACCTCTGTACCCTCTCCAACACCTCAATGTCCCTCTTGTAGTGAGGGGCCCAAAACTGGACACAGTACTCGAGCTGTGGCCTCACCAAAGCTGATTACACGGGAATGATTGTCTCCCTGCTCCTGCTGACAACACTTTTCCTGACACAGGTCAGGATGCCGTTGGCCTTCTTGTGCCCCTGGGCACACTGCTGGCTCATGTCCAGCCGGCTGTCCATCAACACCCCCAGGTCCCTCTCTGTCTCGAAGCTCTCCAGCCACTCCTCCCCAGACCTGTAGCGCTGCCGGGGGTTGTTGTGGCCACAGTGCAGGACTCGACATTTGGCCTTACCAAAACTCATGGAATTAGCCTTGGCCCAGCGATCCAGCCTATCTAGATGAAACAATACAGGGAAACCCAATTGTATCCACAGGGATAGAAGAGAAGGGGTTTCTGTAGCAACATGCATAAAATCCAGAGCCTCCCTAATCTAGGGGAGAACATACCTTTGTCTTTTCCTTCCCCAAACTAGTAGGTGTGACACCATGTCAGTCATTTCCCACAATCATGCAATCATTTAACAATCATGCCAAAACCCAAGTGGCTGTCACTGTAAAGCACTGGAAAGCAGTAACTACACCCTTTTTTGTACAAGTCAAAAAGCACTGGTTAACAGTTCACAACAAAGCACAGGTTTTCAAGGGTTGGACACTGAAGTCTCCAAACACAGATCTAACACTAACAATCCACTTGCCCTCACCTGTGCTTTGTTACAGACCTAGTCACAGAATTTACTCCACAGAATGAAATTTCTCACATTCAGTCACCTCAGCCTGAAGTTTCCCATGTCCAGAGTAAACTGAAACTCACAGAAACTCCCTGCTGCAAAGAAAATCCATACGTACCTTCTCCATCAAAAGCCTGGACACTTGAGATACCAGCAGGTGACCAACCAGAAGCCAAAGTATATGTTCCCTTCCCCATTCAATCCAGTAGCTCCACTCAAAGTCCATGGGGTCCTGGGGCATCAAAACGACTGGTCAGTATGCCAATTTGGCCATAAAAGCGTGTTCACACAGGACAAAGAAACATCTCCGTATAACACTAGGTTTGACATCCAGCACCACAGAACTCAACATCTGGGGAACATCTTGTTTCAGCAGTACAGCCTGATTGCTTACAGCAGTGAGCTCCGGCAGCTCCATTTTGACTTCCAATGGTGTGAAATTCAAAAAAAGGTGTCGGATGGTGTTGTGACTCCTAAAGCCCCACATTGGGAGTGAACCTGACCAATTAGCAATCACTGTCTTCCCCTACAAACACCATGGGAGTTTTCCAACCACAAAGCAAACAAGGAGGCACCCACACACATCTCCTCCCTGAGATATGGGGAGCAGGCTGTCGACTACGCAGAGACGCAGTCAGGATCTGCGAGGAGTTCAATCTCAATTCAGCCCATCCCTGCTTTGGTTCCCTGCCAGGAAGCTTCTTGAGAAAGAACAAATTAGTCTGCTACTGCTGCCCCTGACCATTTCTTCAGAACAGTAAATTCACAACTCTGCTCGTCCCAATCCTTTTAATTTTAGGACTTTGTTTTTCCTTTTGGAAGAAAAACACAATACAGCTTTGGACTGTACTCAGCGCCTGCAAAGTTTAGTCAGGATTTTTTCTTTTATCAATTTCTGTCAGCCTTTTAAGAAAGAGCTCTCAAACGCAACAGAGGAAGAAAAGCACTGCCTTTCCTGCATGTGCCCTCTACCTCTCCTGAGGGCTTCAGAGAGCAACTCTACTGTGCCTTGGAAAATTGAGAGCTTGGGTGAAAAGGCACCCTTCTGGAAGAGAAGTTTTACTCCCTATTTCAACAAAGCCTAGGTGGGATCAGATAAAGTCAGGTCAGCTGGAGATTCCTGTGACATGGAGTTTCTACCTAAATTAGGTAAGAGGAATCAGTTGGTAGCCCCACATCTCATACAGAGCCCCACTAAAAGTTTCTCTCCACAACTACCTTACCATTTTCTTGAAAACACATGTCAAGTAACTAAACACTGAAATATTTCCACAAACTTGCATTCCTGGTCTTCTGTGAGTCATTCTCAGTATCAGTTATATCTCTTCAAAAGGATGCAAAGTCAAAACAAACAAGGCAGGGAGGGTGGATTAGTTGTTTATTTGGTTCAGGGTTGAGGGCTGCTAACTTTCTCACTATTTTTTTATTTTTTTTTAAGACCAACCATACTTCTTTAAGCCCTTACACCTCAAATGTCTATTCTCTATGCTGGACTATAGGGCAACCAAGAGAGAAATGTATTCACTGATGTTAACCATTATCCAAACAATCTAGCAATGGGAAAGTGACAGAAATGTCAAGGGTGAGCATAACTCTTAAGGAAACAGATTATTAAGTGATGTAACAAAGCAGAAATACTTAGGCAGAGATGAAGAAACAAAACATTGGTTATGATTCTTAGAGCTAGGCACACCTGGCAATTCCCTCTTCCTCATTAGAGACAAATAAACAAAAATTAACAATAAATACCCTCATTTGCAAAGTTACTACAAACCTCTGAAGATAAATCAGAAGGTCAGGTGAGCAAAGCATATGGAGACACAACATTAGCATTATTGCCACAAAATAAAAAATGCTGATACTGGTCATCCATCCTACCTTTTTGAGGTCCCGAAAAAGAGTTCCTGGTTCCAACCCAAACTTTCTGTCCATTACAGCTTCATACTCTGCAGAGAAACAAACCTTTGCTAAGGACACAGCAGCCAGAGCAGGGAGAATCAGAGAGTGGCATCTGCTGCTCAAGAGCAACACGATGCCATGTTGTCTCTGCCAACGGAGACACTCAGAGCCAGAGAAGGGCACATCACCGTGCCGCTGCTCACTGGGCAAGCTTGTCCCACAGCACAAAGCCACTGAACTGCCCAGAATCCACGCTCTGATTTCCCCTCGCAACAGGGATGGCAGCAGGCAGTGACAAACCTTTCATCACGCTGAACCTGCGCTAAAATCCTTGTTTTCCCTTTCAGGGCTGCATGGTGTCCTCCACCAGAGCAGAAGGGACACACAGACCTGACAGGGACCGGTACAGCCAGAGCAGCCCAAAGCTTGCGCAGAGAAGCCACCTCCAGAGTCCATTCCCCTGAAGCCTTTCGCCATCTTCACAGAACACATGCTGTGTATACGGGGCTACAGCCCTGGTATCTCTTTACACAGCACTTCCTTCACCACACTGCAAGTGCCTTTCTTTCTGGCACTCCTGTCCTTCAATTTAAGCACTTTTGAGAGCCATTAACATATAACACCTTGTTGACTGCAGCCGAACAATAGGGAATACACATTTCCCTAACAAGCATCTCTAACTAGCAGTAGTTTTATCAGACAATACCATCTTCAATTCCCTTAAAGGACCAATGCACTAAAACACATTTTCTTTTCATCTACAAGTTTTATCCAAGTTGTTTAAAAACTTATCCCTCCTCTGCACTACATAGCTCCATTGAACCAAAACCAAGCCACTGCAGCAGCTAGCAAGAGGTTACACAAAGAACAGGTGGGTATTTTGTAACAAACTGACCCCAAAGCTGCACAAACAATCGAGCACAGGAGTCCCAGAGCTCCACGGAGGGCAGCATTCATCTTCCCTGGGGCCTCTCGCCAGGTTCAGCAAGCACCATCAGGAGGCACAGCTGCTTCTGAACCAGCCACCTCCAAGGAGATGCAGCTGAGAAGGTTCAAGACTAGCCAGGAAAAGCAAAAAAACAACTCAGGGCCAACATTCCTTCACTTCTCTCATTGAAGAAGATGAGCTTTAGAGGTGTCCCTCATCTCTTCCCTGACAGCCAAGTACCAGGACACCCTTCACAGAATGTTGGGGCTTGGAAGGAACCTCGAAAGACCATCTAGTCCAACACCTCCAGCCCAAGTGAAGCCCAGGGTGATTTGCCTTCAGAAAGGCATAAGACACTGAAGTCTCTATCCTGACATATCAGTGGTCACCCAGCTGGATGCAGTGTTAGAGACACTGAGATGAAAAATAGTATTTATTGCTTAGCTCTCACCTGTATAGGTAGAAGCAGTACTGTAATCTTTATAAATTATCCATAACAAGATAACTAACTAGAAATAAGAAACTATTCCCTTTGCTACATCAGGGGCACAAATGTAATAAAACCACAAAGTTACTATTTCTGTTGAAAAAAAGTAGCAAGGCAGAATAATTTTCTAAAGGAGTATTTAAAACAACGTGCAACTCTCCAATGACCAAAAGGATTCAGCAGCTCCATTCCTCACTTCATTTATTACTGGACTTCTCCTCTTGTATTATTTTTTCTCTTTACAAAAGTGTTTTCAACTCACTTGAGGTAACGGTCAGGAGAATTCTTTCATTCCTGCCACGGGCCTTCCCAGCATTA